TGCAGAGCAGCTGACTCGGACAGCAGCGCTGACAGAGTTTATGCCTGGTGAAACGTTTGTTGTTGTTGCCGCTGGTGTCGTTGGTTACCGGCAAAAACCTTCGTGCGATACTACGGAATTGTTACGGCTCTTCCTCTTCTCCTCGTCTCCTACTTTTAGTAGTTGTTGGAACTGCGATAGTGGCAAAGATTGAAGGCGGGGCGTTCTGAACTATTTGAAGTGGCGCACTTGAGTGTGTGACGGCTTAATTAGGAACGGCGACAACTGAAATTGTCAAATGTATCACAGTTTCATTATCTGTTCTATCTGTGCTATCTGGGCGCTGGATTAACGGCAAATGCCGACTGAAATTAGCAACAATTATTTGTTTTGTTTTCTTCTTCTTCGTTGGAATTAATTAACTGTGCCAATATATTTGGGCTGTGTTGTTATTGTTTTTGGCTGAAATGATATACAAATAAATTGCATATTATAAATAACTGTATATGAGATGCTTTATTAGCTAAGTTAATTAAATTATGCATGAGTAAACAGCATAAACAACCCCCTCTACATCTCTCTCTCTCTCTATCTATCTCACTCTGCTTACTAACACTAAACACCCAACGATCGCCCACACATGTAAATTAGCTGTGAATTAGTATGCAAAACAAGTTTTATGCTTGTTAGAGCGAGTAAGAGATTGAAAGAGAGGCAAAGAGAGATGCACGTATGCAGAGAGTGTGAATAAAAGAGAGCAGAGTGCGTTGAAGGCCGCTGCGCAAATGCACCGTACGGTTGTGTAGATGAAGCCTACACTAACGAACAGGGTTGACGGACAACAAAATAGAGTATATTTTACAAACTGAAGTACTCAGGCGTGAAATACAGAACAAAATCCGGAAAATTAAATCCTCGCAAAGGAATTCTATATTTGGATATTTTTTAAAAATTAAAACAATACCGACAGGACTCTTAATACAAGCTAATAATATAAATAATATCCAATTATTTTGTAAATGAAGTTCTTTATGCGAATATTATAAATATCTAAGTCTTGTTGAGCTGTGTAAAGGCATCTTGCGCACTCTCTAATTACTCAAAATGAGATCGCATAGCACAGAGAACACATTGAGAAAACAAAGCTTAAATACAATTTTATCTTTGTGTATTATTTAGCTCGAGTTCGCGAGGCCATTTCCCTACTACTCCAGCGCAGGTCTTATCGTATGCCAAAAACTGAGTAATCCAGAAATTTCAAAGCCAAGTGCCCAACGTGTTTTAATTTACGATCTCTATATTATAAAAAATTAAAGCAAACACTTGCAACTTGGTAACCTACGAAGATTTATTAAAATGCCTTAATCTTTTGTCAGAAATATGCGATAAATTTGAAAGATTTATGAAACAGGCGAACAACAGTTTGCAACTATACGACATGGGCAAATACACTTACATTCATTTGGCATTTGCATACAAAATTCTTATTTGCGTTACAGCAAAAAAATCCAGCATAAAGCGGTTTTAGCCGGTTCTTACTTTATATATATTCATATATATATATATATATTTTTTTTTTTTCAGTCCATCCACGCGCTGATAATGAGCTGCAAATACTCAAATTTTATACGATTTTTATTTTGCTTTCGGAGTTTTATGTACATTCTATATATATTGAAAAAATCAAAAAACTGCATTATTCAAATGTGTGTCATTCGTATGCTAACTATATATATATATCGAATATATATATTTATTTATTTTGTTTCTTTGTGCTTTTATCGATTCCACTTGGCTTATATTTAATTTTATGACACTGCTAAAATCCAACAAATTATTGTTGACTGTTACAATTCTAAGGATTGTATTTTAATTAAGCAAGCTGCTTAAAATTGTTATCGTATTTTACAAATGTATTTCGTGTAAATGATTCTGATTTGGTGTCGTGTAAATAGGAAATTTGCATTAGTTTTAGTGTATTTCCTTTTATTTTATTGTAATTCCAACCGATTGACCACAACATTGACAGCCTAATTTGCGGTTTTTGCCGATAAGGTGAAATATACGATTGTTTTGCGTTTCCTATTCGCGATCTAGTATGGGAAAGTCAGATAGGCTTGTAAAAGTGCCTGCTCACAAATTGAGTTTGTTTAATTAAAAACCTCTTAAAGATTTAGATAGTCTATAGGTCAAGCTTGCTCTTGAGACCTAACAAGTGAGCTTAACTAAACACTCATACTCAAAATATGAGTGTTTAGAGTGTTTTTTGTATATACTGAACTTATTGAAAGTGGGAATTCAGGTTACAATGATTGTCGTACGTCTAGTACAAGCTAAAGGGATGAAAATAACTTATGACTTGGCTTAAGTATAAAAACTTGCGTCTATTTCAGTTGTTTGATTCGAGAAACACAAGTGAAGTATTTAAAATACTATTATTCATTTTTGTTCAACGTCATTTACACAGCACACAATTTACTGGTATTTATATATAATTAAAATAACAAAAGTGATGCCAATTGCGCGCGGTATAAATAAACCAGGTAAAACCCGCACTTCGCGCGGTCATCCCCAACGCTAGCCCTTGATCGCACCTGTGTCACCTGTTTGGCGCGTGTTTTAATTTGTTCACTTCTGTTGTTGCCCAAGACACTTGTTGTTGTTGTGAACGCGCATATTCCGTTTGATTGACGCTTTGATTGATTCGGTTTATTTTCTTTGTTACGTTATTGGCCACGTTCGCTTTGCGTATTAGCTTAAAGTTTCTCGAGCTGGCAGAGCGATTCTAGAGCAGCTCCGTTGTCAACGCCGCCGTTTCGCGTTCTGACATTGACTGCCGGTGTCGACGACGCGTCGTCGCCGTTGCTGCGGCTACTTCTGCTAACTCAGCTGCTGCTGCTGTTGTGTTGTTGTTGCCGCTGTCACCGTTGCCGTCTCCGTCACCATCCCCGATGTTGTTATTGTTGTTGTAGTTAGGTGGTTTGGTCGCTCCCGGACCCGGTTATCACCTTCGGTCAGTTCGGCGATTCGTTCCGTTTCGATTGGTGACGTTGCTGATCAGCTGATTTGCATTCAAGCAATTTCAAATGGCTCTCTTTTTGGAATTGGATTCGAATTTCTTTCACATTGAGCATGATATTTGCATTGCTACATTATTTATATATTTTTCATACTATTTTTTTATTGACTATTAATAAGAATTTCAATTTGTATGCTCTAATTCTACTCTCTAAATCAACCGCCCATCTAAAAGAGAATCTCTCATTTTAATCTTTAATAGCTCTAGACATGTCCCAACGAAGTATTCATAAGACATAAGACAAACAGCCAGATTTTTATGGGAGAAACGTTTGTGGCTTGTATAATGTAAACAGCGGGGATTTTTGCTATAGTTATTCCGTTTATCAAGCAGCATAATAACTTAACCCCGACATGTGTAACAATCTTAAAATTAATTTGCTGCCTTAAAGTATTTATGAATATTGCTTATTTACATATCAATTAAAATCGAATCATCGAATAACTCAATTCTCAACACTTTAATTAGCACCCCGCACAAGGGCATAAAGTCTTCGCTATCCCAACCGATAATTTTGTTTTACAACTGCTATTTGTAGTTCCTCCCGATGCTGTAACATCGACAAATAATGATGCTACGATAAATTACATTTATGTATATCAGTATTCTATAGCCACTCGGTTTATACAGCTTGACCATAAATATGTATATATATATAAATATTTCCTATAATGACATATACACGCTTGTTATGTACATTCAATCATTTTTATTGTTATTATAATTGTCACATTAAATAATAGTACGTGTGTTTCGTTTGGGTAAAAGATGAGCAAATATTTATTATTATGGAATGAATGGAAATAAATAGAATTGGAAAATAATAATCCAAAAAAAAAAGCATTGGAAACTTTTATGAAATATGATATAATTATATTAAAATAAAAAAATTTGTTAAGTAATTGAAGTAACAATCAAAATTAGTTTAGAAGCCCATGAATTCTGTACAGGAAGGAAATAAATAAAATTATTTAATATCTGTAGAGTATAACCCACTGAACTATACTATATACTGATTTAAAGCCCCATAAACTCCACTCTATCTCGCTTAAGCTCCACTCGCGCTGAAATGTCGTGCTTTCACATACTTAAGTAAAAATTGCAAAATTAAACACGATACGATTTGATTTATAAATTACGAGTACTTTCATAAATAAACTTTGCACACACGCCTCGACAGACAGACAGACAAAGGCAAAAAAATCAGACAATCGAGTTTGAGTTTTCGTATGATGTGGCATCGTGAAGCGCATAAATAACCTGGCAAATAGATATAGCTGATTAGAGCGCTATAATTTTGGACTTATGTAAAGAAACACATTTTCCCCTCTAGACATGTGAATTTATTATGCCCACTATTTAAAATGCCACATAGTATTGGAAGACCCTACCCACAAGCAGAAACAAAAGCAGATCTTCAATGTGATCAGAATTTATATAGCCCATAAAACGCGACTTGACGTTCTGGTATGTGACGGCATTATCTATTTTGGGTCCCGTACATATTTTATTGACATATAATTAGCGAAAATTATCATTTATATAATCTCTTGAGCGCAACTTATCTAAATGCCATATCAGAGAGAGATATATACTATAGATATTTATATGAAAGAAACTGAATGTACAACCTGGCATGTAATATGAAACAAAAATCAATTTACTTTGTAACCGTAAATTAGGGGGAGATTCCAATTGCAATAGATTAAGATACCTAGAAATATGTTGAAATAGATAACAGAACATAGTTATATATAAAATATATGTAATAATTCGTTTCTTTTTGTATTAATGGAAAAAAATCAAACTGTGCTAAGATTTCTTTCTCTAAACTTGACAGTATACTTTAAAATTTATAAAAAAAATATTTTACAACTAGTATTCCTTTAAGTATGAGGCATTTAATTATATAATAATAATAAATAAAACAATAAAAAAATCTAAATTAGGAAAAATCAAAAAGTATAAAAATGAACATTTACCGTATTCGAAAATCGGTGAGTAATAAATTCTGATATTGTTTTCTCTAAGTGTAATATCGGAAATACCTCTCATATTTTCCAACTGACTTTCGTTTTAGCACCTCCATTCATTAGAAGTAGAGCTCGCAATTTATAATATATATTATTTCGAACCCATTTGTTGTTGTTGCGGTTCGGCTAACGAGCTACAAGTTAGCATATTGCCTTATTTCTCAGATTGTGAAAGGAAAAAACAATAACAACCCATTTTAATATTGACACATTTTTGTTTTTGCAATGTAAAATATAACATTTGCTTAAGATATTGCACATTTCATTTGTAAGTACGTACTTTTGTTTTGCTGTATTAACAATTGTTTTTACTTGCGGTCGACTAATTTATGTGCGACGTTTAACGAAATTACATTTATTTGCCCCTTTACCGATATCCGTAGAATTTTAGAATTGCGGAATGCGCGCGCGAACGCCACAATAAGAAAAACAATAATGCAACTGCAGCGACGTTTGTTGACCAAGTCTACATTATTGTATGTATGTATATAGTATGATCTATTGCTGATCTGGACAGCTATAGTATAGCCCTATAATTGGTACAGTCTGGGAATTGTACTGCCTTCTCCAAGTTGATCATGGATTGAGAGAACTTGCCACGATGCGTTTCAATTGTGGGTAAATGCATAAAAATATTTGAAAAAAAAAAATAAAAGCTAAGACCCACTGCAAAGGTGCGATGCACATCATGCAATTGAGCCAGACTTTGATATATGAAGTCCAAATTGTTAGAAGTACTAATCTATCTTACTTTTTCGCACTGTTTTAACAAATTGACCCACCCTTAACATACGGAAGACTTACTTTATTATTGTGCAGTTCCTAACTATAGAGAGTTAGGAAAGAAATAGAATACAAAGTGATTTCTGTTATAAGAAATAAGGTATTTTTACGAACGATTCGAACTTTTTCTTATTTATGTACATTTCTAATGGGTTTTCATAGTGTGTTAATCAGATTTATAACATACACGACCCACATACTGTGTAATACAAATTTATATACATGTACTACTATATCTAATAGCTATCATTTTTTATAGGATTATCATCCAATGGAATACAATTGCATTATTGGTTTATAAATTTTATTGTATAATAGATGTTTACAATTTCATTTTTGTTGTTGTCATGTCAGGATCATTGATTGAGAAAATAAAATAAAATTGACATTTGTATTTTCCTATTCCAGTTGCCCTGTTATATTTCTATTTGAGTGACGGGGGCCGTCTAGATTGTAGATACATTTTTGCTTAAATTATTTAAAAGATGCGTATGTTTGGGTGTGTTGTTTTTTTTTTTTAGAATTGAAATCGCAATTCTTTGCACTAGGGACATGGTCTCTGGACATCGTTATATGTGTTATGGTGCGTTCGACAGTTGTACGCCGTATAAATGTGGTCTACAAACTTATGAAATACTTGCGTTTACATCAACGTATGAATATTTATGGAATTAATGTAAAAGGAAGCGTTTAAATACGTCGTGAAAATCCTCCACCGCCCCCGGCGCCGCCGCCACTGCCACCACTATTATTGCCAGCTCCAATGCCCACACTGCCACCGACACCTCCAACACCAGCACCACCGCCACCGATATTAACACCGCCGCGTGTCTTTCCATCATAGAAGAGCTCAATGTATCTAGATCCCATTTGCTCGCGATGTCGTTTCATGGCCAACTGCGAATCATCGTACGTGTCAAAATAGGCGTCAGCGGTTCCGCTGTGCAGGCCTTTCTTATTGTAGTTGATGCGCACGTTGGCCGGGCGTACGGGATCGAAAAACTACCAGATAAGAAAAAGAGTGTCAGCTTGAACTATTCGTACAGTTATTCAGGGTTTAAGACTAACCTTGAAGACGTCATTTTCGAATGAATTATAGGGCAGACCACGCATATGAATTGTGTAATACTCCACATCATTGTTACGACCGCCTCCAATGGGTCCGAAATTTCCACCTGCCGATCCGAAGTTGCCACCATTGCTGAAACCGCCACCACCATTGTTGAAGCCGCCGCCTGCATTGTTGAAGCTGCCACCGCCGTTGTTAAAGCCACCTATACCATTGTTGAACCCGCCTCCGCCATTGTTAAAGCCTCCACCACCGGAACTGTTTGGAAAGCTCCCGAAACCGCTGCCGCCGCCGTTGAACCCGCCAGAGTTGCCGCCATTGTTGAAACCGCCGCCGTTTCCCCCACTGCTGAAGCCACCAACACCACTTCCATTGTTAAAACCATTGCCTCCACCGCCCCCACCAGAGTTATTGCCAAAATTGCCAAAGCCGCCGCCGCCACCATTGCCAAAATTTCCTGGCATATCTGCAGATGTAAGATTTTATTAGATGACATATTGAGAGCCAAGTTTAGATATAACTTTAGATGGGTTATTTATAACTTGCTATTATGGCATATCTGCGAAGGATTTACAATAACAATTTGAGTAGAGCTTCAATATGAACACCTCAGACTAAACCCAGATCATGTCAATCGAGTGTTGCGAGGGAAGTAAAACAAATTAGTTAGGTATTTACTACAACTAAAGCTTGATAAGCTTCTAATAAGCTGGATTTTATGGCATACATAAGAAAGTGGTAAAATGGCATTTGAGTAGAGATTTTATTGAATCTGACAGTCGATAAAAATATAGATAAATAGGATAATCAAGAACAAGCTATGGCATACTTTAGAAGGAGCTATAGAATCAAATATGGTAGTTGTGTACTGATTTTACTGGAACATGTCTGATTATCCATAGATATTTATTCAGACTTCACCGAATCTCATTATTCGAGCTCCACTTACCGAAATTGTTGCCATTGTTGTTGCGATTATTTCCAAAATTGTTAAAATCGCCAAAATCGTTGCCAAAATTGCCAAAGTTACCAGCGTTTTGACCAAAATTGCCGTTGTTGCCGCCGCCACCTCCACCACCTCCGCCGCCCCCGGAATTATTTCCAAAATTACCCGAGTTCATTAAACTGGGTAAATTGTTAAAACCCAACATATTATTGGCGCCCACGCCAAAGTTGCTGTTGTTTCCCCAGTCTGCAAATAGAGGATGTTCCATTCGAACATTAGTCGCAAGCTAATAAGCCTATACATGAAATGAGTGAGTAAATCATCGGATCAAGAAACATTGAAGCTGCACTTAGTGTTAGTTTCAATACAATCGGACATGAATGTCCCTTACTCTGGTTTTCGGCTAACCCATTTTAGCGATTTCAATAGTCACACCTACCATTGCGTCCGCCGAAATCGTTACCGCCACGATTGGCACCGCGATCACGTATATCATAAGGTCCCGGTCGTCCTCCGATACCTCCACCGCCCGTGGCTCGTTTCATCTCAGCTATGGAGCTGCGAAATATCTCAATATACCTAGGATCATTAAAAAAAAAAGAGCAGAAAAAGACATTAGTTGAAATTGTCTAAAGAAAATTAACAGGCTTAATCAGATCAAGAGATATAGATAGGTAGAAAGACTGCTTTGCTATGGTTAATAACATATTAATCCATAATATTATTGAAGTGTATCCTTTGATAAGAATATACAAGTAGGTATAGGAAAGTTAAACGAAAGCATATATATAACTTATCAAAAGTCGTTCTCTGGTTAATAAGGCGTTATCTGTTGTTGTTTTGCACCCATAGCCTGCGCTCTATATATAAACTAGATATATATAAGCACAATATAATTGTTGGTCAAATAAACAATTTTTTTTACTGAAATAGGAATGTAATAAATTAGCTTGTTTTCTTTTTAATTTGCTGAGATAATTGCAACAATTTAAAAATTCATTTTTGTTTTGTTTATTCATGTTACCATCGAATGTATTTGATTGTTGTTGTTGCTGTTGTAGTTGGTAAATATATGATGTGTAAGAGACCCACCTGTGCCCAATTTTTTCCCGATTTCGGCCCAAGGCTTGCTCAGTGTCATCCTGGCTTTCGAACTGAACAAAAGCTTCCCCAGTTGCACGACCCCTTCTGTCCATAACAAAAAGTATGCCCTCCCGATCCGTTTTGATTTCCAACCCTGCCCATGACGATAACCAACAAAGATTTATACAAATATATAGATATATATATATACATATGTATATATTGCAAGGTTAACGATAGATACAGAGAAAGAAAGAAAGTGGGCGATATTTTATATTAATCTTTTTTATAGAGAAGAGGTGAATTGTTTGCTTGTCTCATTGTACTTTGATAGTTCCTAGAAGGCCACATAATTTAAAGGATTATTTTTTGTACTAGATATATAATCAAGAAACGACGTTGAAATAAATAAGCTTGTCTTGCAGACTGATTGTGCATTAGAATTGTTAATAAATATATGTCATAAAAATAAATAAAAGAAACATAAAGAGCCAACATTATGATAAGATGGAATCAACTGGATTATATATTATCAATTCTGAATACATTTAATAAAACATAGTTTGTACTCGGTTAGACAAAGACTATAGTATGTGTGGGAAATGGAAAGTATATGGATAATGTATTGATCTTGATGTGTGAGCATATAACGACCCCTGGTCCTTGGATGCTAACACCCCAGACGATTGGAGCCCAAGACTAACACACACAATTCGTAGCATGTGTATATATATATATATATATATATATATATATATATATACGTATATAATTATATAATATAATATTATATATATTATATAATTTTATAAAAACATATAAATATAAAAATATATTTCATTACATATTATTTGTACATGCATTCGAATTTGGACGCTTTATAATGAGTTCTTCTCTGCCCGCTAAATATATGTAAATAAAAACAGAGACAAGACTGTCAAAATTAGGTGATGTTCTTACCGGTGAAGAATTCCTCGATTTGTTGCTCTGTGACAGCGTAGGGTAATCCACGAAGCTTAACAACAAACGAATGACCATGACCGCCTGTTTTGCGCATAGCCTCCTTTGCCTCCTTGGGCGTTGCAATGAATACTAAGATTGTAGAAGGAAAACTATTAAATATTGTGCTAAATTATGACTTAGCTGTGACGAACCCTCAATGTACCGATGACCCATGCTAGCTTTGTTTAGCTTGCGTGCCTCCTCGACATCATCCTGGCTGGCAACCTCGACGTAAGCCTCTCCCGTATTCTTGCCATCCACACGGCTGGTGACCAAATGTATGCCCTGCGAGCCATTGAGCACTTCCACATTGACCAAAAAGTCGAGAATCTCTTTGTGCGTTGCCGACCAGGGTAGACCGCGTAATCTTATGAATTTGGGACTCTCCCCCACGCTCCCGATCTTCACACTTGAGTCATCATCACCATCGTTATCTTCATTATCGTACTGCTCGTCATTCTCCTGTTGCTGATCATTGTCGTCGTTATAGTCCTCATTGTTGTCTTCATTCTGAGTGAAACCTGGATTGTACTGCACGTCTGTGTTCGACATGGTGCTGATTCAGATGGCGGCAATTCTATCAATGGGGCAGTGAAAGTAGAAAACATGTATATTCACATAAAAGAATAATATAATAATAATACATATTTGTTAGATAATAACAACCATCAATATATATATATATTCATCAATATAGTTGTTTATAATTTTCTGTGAGGCTTTTATGCCGACACTGCTTATTTTTTTTGCACCGCTTACGCCATTTTGACTTTTGTCAAAATTTGTTTTTCAGTTCGCCTTGGTTTACACCAAATGCTGAGTTATTTATACAGCTTATTTAATCAGACGTATATGCACAGCGCATTGTTTACCTCTTTTGGATATTTAGAATTTGTCAGTAGTCTTTTAAATAATTTATCTCGGCACTTTTTCCACAATTTTTCTGTATAAAGAACAGCACGCGTCCAGATTAGAGTTGTATCGAATCATTCAACTTGACGGAACTGTTCACTCGACAAAATGAACAAGTTTTCGTTCATTTAATTCCTTTCGTTTAGGTTCACTTGGAACTGTTAAGTTAGTAGTGGAAAAAATTTCAGTGAAATTATTAAAATAAGTTTGATTTTTCAACAGTTTTTAGGACAGTATATCTGTATGTTTCAACAATAAAATGACTCTAAGAATTTGTTTTAAATTATTAATAAAGTAATTACACAATAGTTTCAAATTTGAATTTAACAGAGCTGAGGCTGTTACAGCAACCAGGCCTGACATAAATACTTATCGATGTTTACAAATATCGAGTCTATTGCCAAGCGATGTTGCAGTGCTGTACAGCGTTTTGATAATATTATCAAGACAAAAATTCTGTATTTATAGGGCGTCAATATGAAGGTTAACTAAACTTATGTATTTTGTATAAAAATTACTATTTTATTGCATACAAATTAGGGCAAAAATCCCTGAGGTTATGAATATAGTTTGAATTTTGGCGCTCAAAATGATCGTGGCTGTCGCATTGGAGACTTTTTGTTGCTATGACAACTGGCGCGCAATTTGATTTCGCAGCAAGTTTGTTTGTTCAATACAGTTGGAGCATTGATTTTTACGGCAGTGCATAATAGCTGCGTGATAAAAAGTTGAATTGCAAAAATAGTAAATTTATAAAATTAATTGCATTTTGTTTTTTGTTTTGTTAAAGTGTTGTCAAAATGTTTGTGCAAAAGAAAAAATTGGTAGAACATGTTTTAGCCATGCGTGCAAATGAAGGCAGTGCCAGTGACGAAGAGGAGGAGGAGGAGGACGAAGGAGACATTTTACAGGTGCTAATTGAGCCTTTAAACAAAACAAAAATAAATAAAACAGCTGATTAACTAACTAACCAATTAGTGGCGAAATTCAAGTTGTCACAAAATTATTATAAATAACTATTGCTTTTGTACCAATTGTAATATTAACCCCTTAGCTCCTTGTACTCGTTGGCTGATTATATAATCCTTTGACTGGTGTAAAAAGCTGAAAATAAATTTGTATATTAAATTATAAGGTTATGTGCTGTAGTTTAACAAAGCTAATAAGGGAATTTGGCTAACAAATATCATATATATATATATATATATATATATATATATATATATATATGTATATACGTTTATATTAATCAACATACTATTATTATATATTTTATAATTTTGTTTTGAAACACATTTGTAATGCAATCTCCTGAATGCTTCACTCTCTTTGCAGAAAAATCTCGAATTTTCAATATCTAAACTAGCTTTACACAATATATCAACCTTGAATAATAGATAACTATTTGTTTTTTGAGACACAAATTTTTGTTCTTTTTTCTCTAGCTGCACTTTTGAAGTAAAAGTAAAAGTCGAAAGTAAATGTAAATGTTGTTCTAGTTGTTATGGCAAATCTTGTTGTAAGTAGTTTTGAATTTTGCATAAATATTTACCAACTTTATGAAACATTGCGTCAACAAGTTTTTTGCTTGCACTTAATTAGCACAGCAACAAAAGAGAACGGCAGCAACTATTTTTCAAACTAATATATTTTTGGTCTATCCCCGTTTTTGAATTTTGCAATGGCGAAAAAACTAAAATAAAAATCTATCTCATAAAAATAAAAACAAAAATAAATTTAAAAAAATGTAATATAATATATGATTAAAAAAATTAAAATCACAAACAAAAATAAATAATGTTGAAAACCAATTGGACAAAACATTTATAATAAAACTGAAAAAAAATTTAAAATGTTTTTGATTAAAACACATTTCATACAAAATAATATATAAATTACTTGACATAATAAATTTGAGACAAATCAAATAAATATATAATATAAAAAATATAATATATATAAAAAAAAATTTTTTTAAATAATAAATTTTATTTTTTAATAAAATAATAAAAATATAAAATATTCTGCGGCACTAAACATTTACTGCGCGTTTTCTATGGTACTTCAACGGTTCAACGGATTGGATATTGAAAAAAATAATATATGTATTCCAATTATTGGATATTTAAAATAAAAAAATAAATATGGCCATGGACCCGGACGAAGCACAGCGTCGCCGTGAAGAATGCGAACGCAAGGCCCGACGTGGGGAAATGGACCCCCGTTTGGAGTTCACCTTCCAACTGCTGATAGATGCGACGCAGCTGCCGCGGCATCAGCTCATGGATTATATATTCGAAGGGGATATGGTAGCGCACCTCTAACTAGCTTTAACGGCAATATATTTTCATATAAACTACATATATATAAATTCGCAGCTCGATGAGATCAATCAACTATTTCTACCGAATATGAAGAACAAATTACTGTGGTTCTATCAGGAGGTGGATGAGCCGGAGCCGCCGCCTGTTGTCGATGCCAATAAGCCAGGACCCTCACGTACGGGCATGGCATCAAGTAGCTCAAAGACACCACAGGGTATGCTAGCTGTGAAACATATGCCCATCATCTAGTCTATATATAGTACGACTGTTCCTTTAGGTGGCGCTTCGCCCAGCGGACAGCCCCCACCCAAGCATAAAAAACTATTCCTAACTGATGGCTGGACCTGCGCCTTCACTGGAGTGTGTATTTATATCTTTCGCGTGAATACGTCTAAGCAGCTGCCAGAGGAGGGCTTCCAAAAGGATTTGTAAGTGGCTGAATTAGCCTATACCCAGTTATGATTGAGAATGGGGTATATATTGCTTTTTTCAGTTGAAGTTGCTCAAGTTAATAAACTCTTTGTGGCTTACAGTACGATATTTATTTCCTCGTTCTTATATCCGAGTCCCAGCTCACATGCAGATGCTTGAGCAATTTCAACTGACTGGTTATTGGGTATTTTTAAGTCGTCTTCTCGCGCTATTTGTTTTCAGTTTGTGCGTTTGTTTATCTTTCATAAGTTTCAAGTTGGCTAAGCTCAAAAACTGTTATCTAAGAATAGCCAATTTTTGGTTTATTTGTTGGCACATGGATTATCGGGGATTTATGCAATGCACACCCACACACATGCAACCCCACACACAATGTTGGAGGGTATTGGTAATTGAATATTTTTGCCTGCTTTCTCTTTCAATTGATTAGATACTGTGGCGTCATCGATGCCAAGAATATTGGCCTCGTCACGTCCATCGAGCGCATTGTGGAGTTTGTGTTTATGCAAGCTTTGGCTTTTCCCAGTCTTGAGGGCGACGAGGAGGATGTGAGCTGTGGGCTCATCAAGGGTCAGTTGTTGCCCGGATTGCGATCATTTTGCAGCGCATTGCGCGTCTGCGAGCAGGTTTGCGATCATTACAATGTCTTTGCCGATGGCTGTGACATGTTTGATGGCTGTATAGTGGTCGAGGAGGTGAAGGATATGGCCAAGAATCAGGAGTTTTGCACCCAGCTGGAGGATCGCGTCAACAACTGGTCAAAGGGCATACTCAAAATTCTAGGTGAGAGCGAGCAGCTGCGCAAAGAGAACGATCACAGTGGTCCACAGGACGAGCTGGAGTATTGGAAGAAGCGTGGCGCTCAATTCTCACAGCTGTTGGCTCATCTGCAGGACAAGGAAGTGCAGTTCACATTGCACTGCCTCTTCCTAGCCGGCTCGAGGATTATGCGCCAATGGAAGGAAACCGATCGCAAAATAACCTTCTGCTACAACGAAGCGCGTGACAATTCCAAGTTCATACAGGCCATGGAAACGTGCTGCCATTCTTTATACCTGGACGATCCGGTTAGCATGAAGGAGTCCATATTGAGTCTCTTGCAGACTGTGCGCCTGATCTACAGTGTGTCACAGTTTTACAACACATCCGAACGCACTTCGGCGCTGATGGTTAAGGTAAGCTAGAACTGCAATCGAATTTCATGTGTTTATTTATGTAGTTATTAGTTATTAGTTATTAGTTATTAGTTATTAGTTATTAGTTATTAGTTATTAGTTATTAGTTTGAAATGCAAATGCATTTCCTTAGAGCTTACCAATTGCATTGCAATTGTTTTGAAATTATTGTCGGTTCTGCTGCCATTGCTATTGACATTTACTTTGGCTATAAGCTGTCTATTTTATTCAGGATGCTGTGTTGATTGATTTCCTGCGGCCTTTGCCCTTTGAGTTTACTTACCTTTCGACATTGCCTTGAATCTGCTGTAGTCTCCAGGATATTATATGTCCGCTAACCTTTCGGTTTAGTGTACGGACGTGTCAAATCAGTTATTTACAATGAATAGTTAGATATTTGGATTACGGAGAATTCAAATGGTTGCTGAAAGCTCGTATTTGAATTCAACTCAAATAATATACATAAAACAAGTTAGAAAGCCGTAGTCGGAGGTGTCCGACAACGAGATACTCTGAACCCCGACCTATCTGAGTTTTTTAATATTCTCCATAGTTTGTGTATGCCATATTTGTAAGAATACTCATAAAAAATAAGGATAAAAAAACCGTCGTGCTATGGTGGTCGAAAATGCACTCATTTAAATGTACGTGTGTAAATGTATATGAAAATTCATGTGCTTTTACAAATTGGAGGTTTTGTTTTTCTATTCTATTGGAGTACTTGTCAGCTTACTAAAAATGCAAGTCTCTGCTTCTTATAGGTTCAGAGATCGACGCCTTCATACATATGGATAAGCAGACAGAGCTAAATCGACTCAGCTCGTCGTCCTGGTCAAGAATATATACTTTGTACCTTGTGGGGCAAGCGTCGTTCTGCCTGTTACATACACATTAAAAAACACATTAAGCTTTGAGATCTCATTTTCAATCGGTTCAGCGTATAAAAATAAATATTTTTTACATTTTAATGAAAATTATTTTCCGCAGATAACGAACCAGATGATTGAAACATGCAAGTCCTACATCACTTGTCGCTGCAAGGAAACTATTTGGTCTCAAGATCGTAGCTTGATACGCACCAAATTGAGTAACTGTATTAAATTGAATCATATTTACCATGAGACCTATTATACAGTCAGGGAGCAGCCTTTTTTGCCACATCAAACTCCAT